ATTCCTATCAAATGAAAGCTGGACATTCTTCAAGTCTGATGGTACACCCAAGGACAACCGTTTAACCTGAACTACCTTACAAAAACAGGTGGAAATTTTGATTTAATAAAAATCGTGTATTATTCGAAAAAAGAAGTAATAAAAATTGCAGTTTTGAAATTTAATTTCAAAATGTTAAAGTACATTTATTTCTTGTTTTTACTCTCACGTTTCCCGGCTATACGTCCAGATGGATTACCAATTCGACGGTCAGTGTCAGTAATGAAGACAACTGTCCCAGCACAAGCAGGTTCACAAGAACCGACTTTGCAAATATGACCAGGAGCTCCAGGCTCCCGACAACTTTTTTCATGCCTGTATTGATTCCGTTTCGAAGTGTATCGGCCAGGACACCATCTACATCGATAACTGTCGTCAAACTGTGGGCGTAGCTGTTCTGGATCCTCGGCGTCCACGATTTGCTCCCAATCATCTTCATCCCTCTTCACACGGCTCTGTGTCATCCGTTATGTTGTCAGTGTGGACGAAACATTCTCGCCACCTGACTCTACTCCGGCGATTAGCGTCGATCTTTGCGCCAAGATATCCCTTACCCGTTACCTTTTCGTGTTCAAACCATCCCGTGAGTGGGACACGCTCTTTTTTTACCTTCTCCGTTGGATCATCATTATCACCACCTCCTCTGTTGTTGAACACCGACTTACACGGAGCCTTCGTCAACTCCAAACGTTAACGAAGCTATTGTTCTATCAATTTTTAGTAGCTCTAAAGTATCAAATGAAATCTTATTTTTAATTAATGGATACTTGCCAGTCACCAATGCATAAACCAATTCCGCAAGCGCATCATAAAGTTGTATCGCAGGACTCGAGTCGGCTATAATTTCAAAAAATGTTTCAATTGCCGGGCTAGGGCTGGTAAGGTCGTCATCAAAATACTCATCTCCACCATAGTTGTCAAAAAGGTGTTCGATGTCTTGTTTTGTTATGTTGGTGTCATTCTTTAAAAAGATCCATGGTTTTCCGAACCAACATTTGGAATAGTTGAAATCTGATTATCCAAAATATCATTGGTTTGAATTAAAAGTGAAGTTGAAACAGAACTAGTACTTTCCATACCAGGATTTGGCACCATTGAGACAGAATCACAAGCAATATTCTCTTTAGAACCATTGGTTTCAATTACAGCTTTCCGTACCAGGATTTGATACAGTCGAAGCATACGAAACCCAAGCAACAAGTTTATCATAATGGTTGAAAACTGCAAGATAAGAGCTGCTCTCTAAGAGCAGCAATGTTAAAACCATGATCGGCCATAATTAACTTTAACTGTATTTAATTATGGTTTAAATGAAAATCGCGAAAGTGTATATATACCAGTTTTTTTTTCCCCTGTGGAAGCTCTCTTTACATCTCACTTAATCTGTGATACAGGTTGGATCATTCTCAACCTAGTTCCAACTGAATATTTTGTATTGAAATAAACGATTTACTCAAGAGATTGCTAAGGATAATGTTGAAAGAAAAGTTAATTAAGTGATAATTGTATTGAAAGTTCTGATCGCAAATCTATGTTATCCATGAATGCTACGAACATACGAACTAATTGATTAGAACTGGTTCTGTTTATTTTGCACTTTTTTGTTTAGCTCGAGGTTATCGATGCAGAAACAAATGAATTGCAATTGTGTCATACAAAAGTAACATCTTCAAGCACAGACAACAGAGATTCTTCTTTTTCCTAGTTTTTTGTACCAATTTCGATGAAATCAAAAGCTGATTAAATTTTAAATTTGATTTAGATGATGGAAGGCAACAAAAGAGTAAAGAAAGTTGAAAAGTATCATCCTATTCATTGAAAAGCAACGATTGAAATTTCGTGTAAAAATAGTTCATTGGAACGTTGATTAAATTGTGAATTTGAAAAGTTGAATTTCTCCAGATTATGAGGTGTTTTCTTTTGATGAAAGTTTAATCGAAGTTCATTATTCAGACATTGCAAGTTGAAAAACGTTTACTTGAAAAAGAACTGCAATTGTCTGTGGAAATGTTTTCTTCCAGTTGATTTCATTTGTCGAGTTGAGTCTATTCTGTTTTTGTTCACTTTCACATTATTCAGTTTCATCTTGAAAATAAAATTTACTTTTACCCTTTAGAAATGAGAAACATAAGCAGTAAAGAAAATTATTTACTCAATCTTTTCATGAAATGAGATGGATTTTAATGAGGAAATAAAGTAAAATAATGTATCAGAAAATACAAAACATGAAATAATGAAAGCCAAGTCTTGATACAAAAGAATCAAAAGAAATTAAAAAGTATTCACAGAAAATGGGAAATAAAATTCTTTCAAATAGAACAATGATTTATTTTTAGAACGCTAAAATAAGACACCAAATGTTTCCCTGAAAATCAATCAGCTTGATACACATGTGCTTTAGCAAAACTCATGCAATTTTCATTCGAAATTCAAACCAACATTCAATTTCCAAAGTTCGAAAATCGCCAAAATTCTCTTCGAACAGACTTTATCATATTAGTTCTTAGAATCATCTTTACAACTAAACATCTCACAACTCAAATGATGAAATGAAATTGATGAAAAGTCTGTACATTTAATCAATGCAAATGAACGGAAAGAAGACAATTTGAATTGAATAATTTACAGAAAGTTTGTTCAAATTGATTCAGAAACTTATTAAATTTTGATAAATAGAAAATTCAAATTTCTATTTTTAATTTGCATTTACAATGATTTATAAGTTTAATCGACTTGCCATCATCTTGGTAATACGCAATATTGGAAACATTTACCTGAAAAGTCTAGAATTTCATTATTCTTTTTTCACCATTGCATGATACTCATCAAATATGAAATCCTTGGCAACTCTGTTTCATTTTTAGAACTGTTAGATAGTTTGTTGAATCGGTCGTTAATTTAGTAAATCTGATTCTCTTGTAATAATTAAATTTAATGAACAAATGGCACGCAAGGTTTGTTCATTGGGAAACATGAGAAAGATTAACTTTTCTTGTTCTGGATTCATTTCATTAATAAAAAAGTAAATTGGTCAAAAAATGTATTCTAATGAGATTTGATAGACAAATATTTCATCAAAATGAAAAGGCAACAAAACTTTCATCAAATATTACTGTTGCTAATGATAGACATCAGATGAATACATGAAATGTGCCAATATTGTTTCGAATTTTGTCTAGTCTTTTAATAATTTTTGTACTTTTTCGCCATTGTTAGAGTAAAGAATCGAGATGGAAAGTGATGATATTAACTAGATGAAGAATGTGATAAAGAAGATGAAAGAATCTAAAAAAGTAATAAGAAAAGTTTCTTCTTCTTCGTCTCCATTATAGTTGATCAACAATATCATTTAGCGTTATTTGCATTACACAAATTGTGATAAATGTTGCCTACCATTGTGTCACATTGTCATTGCAATATTAATATAAGTAAAATCGGTTCAATTTAAATTGATGAGTTTTTTGTGGGTAAAAATGAAGGAAAAGCAAATTTACACTTTTTAATGATATTTCAACAATATTGAAATGAAAAGTTTCAATTTGATCTTTTTCTTCCAGTCAAACGTGATCATGAGCAAAGATGAAAAGGTTTGTAAAACGTTCAATTTTGATGCAAAGATCAATGAGAATTGTGTTTTTGAGAGAAAATTTTCAAAAACTTTGCAAAAGGAAAATTATTTCTTCGTTGAAATGAATTCTTTTCATACCTCATCGGTGATTGCATAGTATGATTTGAGAGACGGAGTTGACCCAAAAGTATCCAGTTCGCTGAAGTTTAAGGGTAAATTTGTTTCATTAAACAAAAGTTTATAAGTCAATTTGCAGCGATTTCAAAAGTTAGGAAGAAAAATTGAATTGAATAAATTCCAATATTGAACGATGAGATAGAAAACTTTTCGTGAAATCCATTTGTTCAACAGAAGAGGTAAACACTGAAAGTTGCAACTTGTTTCAAAATAAACTTGGAATAATTGATAATCCAAAAATCATGATTAGCACTTCATTAATCAATACTTTTGCGCTCTTTACCAATCAATCGAAATGTTGGTTCGTCCAAAAATGAATGCAAAGTTGGTTGGCATTTGGAGAAAACGTTTCAATGTTTTTTTCAATCAAATATTTCGACAGTGTGATCTTGAATAAGATAGTCTACGAAAAAATGAGACTTTCATCTGACGAATTCGCATGAGCTGAGATGAACTTTTCATTGAGACAATTGGTGGTTTGCTCAGCAAATCTAGTGACATCTTGTATTTACTCTTGAAACTACTGATATAAACTTCAGACTCTATTCATGAAATCTCAACAGAGAGCGCTCATGGTTGTAGTCAGAGTTTGCATGATGCAACTGAACAAGCATGAGTAAACAAAATTTGGAAAACATTGAAGCGCAAAAAGATTTTCATTGGAAAATGAAAATTTCCCTTTTCTGTTTTCAGCCAAACTTGAACAACATTTTTGTATAAGATTAATCTTTATCATTGATCATTTCACCTTTGGAATAACTAAATACTTGATTAGTTAATTGGATGAATCTTGGCTCTACTCTGTTGTCTTGACAATTTAAATTGACTTGCTAATTGGGTTGAGTAAAGAATTAAAATTTAATTAAAAATATTTCGAGCTTGAAATTGGCTTGCTTTAAAGATTTAAAGAGTCGGATAAAGACGTGAAAAAGGGGATGAATGGGAATGATGAATAGAGAAGCGTATCAAAGTTTATCAACCAAATTAACTCGATTTGCTAATTAAAATGTTTTTCTGTGCAATTTAGAGTTGCTCATTGTTACCAAACAATTGTCAACAGTTGAAGACTAAACGAATGCCCAGATTGAAAATTCATGGTGTTGATTCAATACAATTGCAGTGCGATCGAATGCTTTTTTACAGAAATTTTTAAAGCCTCGAAATGGTGAACCATGAAGGTAAAGAAAAGGGAAAAAAATGAAACTTTAGTCTTTACCTTTGTACGACCAAGAAGTAAAGCATCCATCTCAGTTTGTGGAGTTGGTTGGACAGATTCAATCTCTTTACTGGACATTTTTATCGTTTAGTTTGTCTTTTTGTGTCAAAATATTTCACATTAATGGTTAAACATTGAAATATTCAAAAGTTTTATTTCAATAGACGATGATCCAGGTAATGTGAATTTCCATGGAAAATGTAATAAACTGAATTCGTTTCCATTTCATTGGTGAAACTGCAAGAGAATAGAGAAAAGAATCAATCAATATGCTTGGATTGTTCCAGGTAACGCAAACATTCAGTTTTCATCATTTCTCAAGTCATTGCCAGTTATTATCATTTCAATGTTGAAACAATCTTTTCATGAAAAATTGAAAATTTTTTCATTCCATTGATGATGAAGTGATTGAATTGCAACTGATTCAATTGATCATTGGAAAGGCAATGTGTTGCCTTAACCTGGATAAACTCAACAAGTATTCTTGTCAAGTTCAATTATGCATTTGAATCAAATTTTTCATTCCCTGATTTCGCTGGAAATATTCCCGAAAGAAAATGTAATTATTAAGTGAAGAGCGAGATAATTATTTACAATTTATTTTCAAGTCTCCAAAGGCTCAGCATGTTTGCCTAATCTATTCAGTATTATTGTTATTATTAGTTGAAATGTTGTTGATGGTGAAAGGGAAGAACGGAAAAACGATTTATTCAGATTAAATGAAGTTTTCTGTCTCTCTTCTTTCTTTTATCTCATGAGAATATTCAATTTTGTTTTTACGATTCTCTCTTTAATCATTTTCCAGGAATGGCAATTTAGCCCAGTTTTGTTTCGCTCTTCTCACCACTGATTTGTAATCTTGCACTTATTTAAAGTCAAACATCTCATCTCATGAGATTTGTGAATCTTGATGAATTATTGGTTTTGCTTGTTGACATGGTGTCCGAGTTTCTTTCCTTTCCAACCTTAAATCATAAATTGAGTTTTGTTTGTCCATTAATTGCTTCTGATCATGTAATTAGTGATCTTTTGTAACTTATACCAGACATTTGGTGCATTAATCACTTGAATGTTTCCATTAGCAGTTTGAGAAGGCAAACTAAATCAAAGAATGTATCAATTAACAAAGTAACAATTGTTACGAATTTCTTTTTCTTTTCTTTGACTTATAATTACTGACCAACGTAACGGTCATTAGATAATGTAAACATGTAAAAATGACTGGGAGTGAAAAGTTTTGTAAATAAATTATTTTCATTCTTTTCTTGCAACTATTTTCAAATTTTAAATTCAACTGTAAAGGTTAACCTTTGAAAAATTTTGCAAATTCGGTCAATAAATCTTATAAGTGAAAGAAATTGCTTCTTCATAAACTTTTCATACTTTACTTCAATTATTCAACTGAATTTTTGTCTTTATTGAGTTTTCTCATGTAATTGCTCAGCTTCTCTTAACTGTCTAAAGTGCTTTCGAAAAATTTTCACTTTGCGTTTCGAGCCATTCATTGGATTAATACATTGTATAAGTAAGTTAATGATCAACAGAATGTTGCATTACTATGCATGATAATCGATCTATTGCCATCTGTTCAAACATGTGTCGAGTATTGGAATCTTGCAATTTGGTAAATTGTTTCATTTAGTCAGAGTTGGTTTTTTGTGCAGAAAATGAAAATTAAATTGAACTGCGATTCTCCTTCAATTATAAACGAACATTAAATTGAAAACCATTGAAGTCGATATGAAGTTGATAGCAAACTGACCATTATGAACTTATCAGAAGAAGCACGGTTTGGAGATAATGTCTAGCCAGAAAGCATCATTAAGAATTTCAGTGAAAAATTATTTTCTATTTTCTGTGATGAGCAAAGATAAGAATGATGACAATAATGTTGGTGTACAACAGTGAGATGGGAAAAAGTAAATGAATTGAAGAGTAAAAAACTAGAGTTGGTAAAGTTTACTCAAGAATATCTTTTTGAACAGAAACAATTACCATGAATCCTCATGAAATCACCTCAACAGTCAACTTTGGTTCACAGTTTTGGACACTTTCTCATTTCTCTCTCACTCATTTTCTGTTGCTCTTCAATTTCGTCTCACAACTTCCAACTTGGATTACATGCAGTTGTTTTTTACAGCTCAAGCTAACATTCCAACTCATTCTATCTTTCATCTTTGCTTTTATTTCTTGTTAGCTTCATGTCTACTTAACAATCCTCATCATCCTCATCCTCATCCAATTTTTTCACCTTTATCCCTTCCATATGCTCGCTGTCTCGATATTTACTTTGCTTTTCACTTCCACTTTGTACTTTTTACTCTTTTATCTGATCATTCAGAATTGCTCTCAACTCGTCTTTTTTTACTTTGAAAAACAATCCTGTCCAACCTTGACTGGTATTTATGTTGGGAAGGCAGCGAAAAGCAAAGGATAACAATGATAATGATGATGATAATAATGACGAGAAGAAGTAGAAAGGCTAAGGATAAGGATAACAATGATCATGCTGTTGATTCTAATGCACTGGCATGTTTTGTTGAGGGTATAAAGAATCAATAGTCGAGTAGGAATAGAAAAAATTAAGCGTCTCATTTCAATGATAATCTGAGTTTGACAATATTAAAGGTTCAAAAGGGATCTGAATTCATCATCATCATCATCAACATTGCATCTTTACTCTTTACTCAACTTGAATGAATAAAGTGAGAGTAGGAAAAAAATGAGAGGAAAATAACAATTTTCCAGATTATTTCGTGATCAAAAACAGTCAATAATCTTGCTTCCTATTACAATCTCCTGTTTTTATGTGATTATGATTCTGAGATTCACTGTTATCATCATTTCCATCATCAACAGTAGCAAAACTAACAACATGATAATATGTGAAGGTGAAAATGCAATGAAAAATGAGACGCTCTTTTCATTCTTACAAGAGGAAAATAAAATATTAATAACTTTTGCATTATTTTACTCAATCATTTTTAGTTGCATTCAATTCAATTTAAACTTTATCTCCGCTACTCGTCTTTATTTCAAAGATTATCTGATGAATGGAAAGAACAAAGAGAAACAAAGTGAATCAAAAGAATGGAGCAAAAAAAATGTTTGAATACAATGTAATTTTTCGTCTTTTACTTCTTGATATTGAAATTTATCAGCTTTCAAAATGAATAAAATTTGTTGCAACAATATTTTACAGATGAATTCAGAAGTCAACTTGGATGGAATTGAGAAAAGTCTTAAAATGCACAGAGAAAAAAAAAGTTTATCCTTATGCTAAAATCCTTCAACATCAGTTGTAGAGTCGAAAATTGGATTTGATTAAATGTAAATCAGTCAACCTTGAGCATTATTATTGGCATGAAATCTCAAGAAATTTTATTTTCCTCTTCAATTCCCATTATCTTATCAATTTGAAAAAAGGAGAAGGAAATATTTCTTATTGAATCGGTGATTCTTGAAAATTTTGCTTCAAAGTTCATTTTAATTGATATTCAACATTTTCGAATCTTTTGCATTCAATTTATTTATTCAAAGGCTTTCACCAAATGAAAGTTGATCTACAAATGAGAGAAATTAAAGTGAGCAAACTTTTGCAAATCAGATTCTAATGAGTAATGTAAAAGTCAATCTATTGTTTAAATGGATTGATGCAAAGTACTGCCAATTCTGTGGAAAATCATGCCGATGAATTTAATGATGATAAACTTTCCAAGTCTAAATAAATGTTGTTTAAACGTAAATGGACGAAAGAAATGAGAATCAAAAGGATGAATTATCTATTATTTGTGCCTAATATTTACTTGCTAAGCAAATACAGATTCATATTTGCTATTTTTTGTTCATTAATTTTATTTTTCCCATTCTCAGTGTTTATCATTTTTTACTCTCATGAACCTTAATGTAATTTATTACAAGTCATTTTGTGGGTGGTTTTCATGGAGAAAAGGTGAGCGTAAAGAACAGAATGAATTTCTTTTATTCTATTTGACATGCTAGGTTAATTAATGTTAGTGGTAACCTTATATGTAACATGTAGTGAGCTCAAATCATGAAACCATTTTTACTTTATTTTCTCAAGTGAGCTCACAAGCTTACTAATCTTTAAACCATATTTCTTCACATTTTCTTAAATCTTTAATCCTTTTCTCTCTGAGCTCAAACTTTTAAGCTTGAACTCAAACTTCAAATCCGTGAGCTCACGCATGAGCTCACCATTTTCCCTAATTTCCCTACATTTTCAAGGTATAAAAACCCATGAGCTCACGGCTCAAGGGTAGCATTTTACACCGATCGTATATTGTATTTCTTACTTTTTGTCTTATTCTAATAAACACACGTTTTACCCTTTTCATTTACTTCAACTATCTTTATTTTTGTGTTTTACATTTGTCCAAGTATGAGCTCTCAACCAAACTCAAACTCAGCTCCGACAAATTATGGCGCAGTCGACAGGATCGGCGATGCTCACCAAGTTTTCAAGTTCAAGTTCACGCTAGTGAAAAACGATGAGCTGATCTTGGTTACAAGATTCTGCGAACTTGGTTCCTCCGATTGGACTCTTGTGCAGGAATCTCAACAAAACCTTGAGTTCCACAACGAGATCAAACTAAAGAAACCTGTTCTAGCTGCTATCAGTGAAATGGCAAGGCAGCGAACAGTGACTTTATTCTTGAGTGCGGATGAAGCTCGACGTTATTTGAGTGATGAGCTCAGTGATGGTATGGTCGAAGATGAACAGTCTGAGAACGTTAGTTCTCCACCTCCTTCAACTTCAAATTCCAGTGAGCTCACGCCAACAAACATTCAAGACGTCATGCAATTTCAAATGATGGCATTTCAAAAGATGATGGAAACATTCCAGTCCACCATGCTTCCTCTCATGAGCTCAAAGTCTCAACGTATGGACATCAATAAGTTCAATGCCAAACAAGAAGACCCCAAGACTTGGCTAATCAGCTATGAAAAAGCCTGTTCTTTCAATGGATGGAAAACGGACGATTCCAAAGTCAATCATCTGAAATCTTATCTGGATGGCATTGCCCTGAAATGGTTCAACTCTAGACTGATAGAAGGTATAGCTCCTATTTGGGAAGAATGGAAATCAGCTTTCATAAGTGCGTTCGGTCAAAATCGTGTGAGCTCAGCTCAAACCGCACTTGCTTGGGAATACCGTGGAGGTTCTATTCTGGATTATTATTATGAAAAACAAAGACTCATTCAACTTGCATTTA